AACTAATTACAATAAAATGCAAATCATGTTAAATCATCATAGATTAAAATGAACTAGAATTATATTTTATTCACACATATGCAAATTAATACTGAAGTACTGAAAATTATATCGAATGGCCTATGATATCTTGAGGGAGAAGAAAGAGCATTAGCTTGTCTTCTGTTCATTTAATTATTGTAACTAATTTACTGCCATTTCTGTTTGCATTTAAATTCTGGGATGGGTAAAGCAAGGTAGACCGATAGACAAATGCCCTAGGAGCTCTGTGCTATACCCTGTACTATTTGAAATTTACTAAAAATCTCACAGAAGAAACTTGTACGCCTGTGTGTATGTGTATTTGTGTAAAGACAAGTATAAACTAAGCGGGGGTATATTCGAATCGGTCATCACCGACTAGAGCACACTAGGTTATTTTCTATTGCTGGAGTTCATTTTGTGTTGTTCTCATCCTTGTAATGGCACTTTATTAATACTGTTTTGCTCTTAAGTTTTTATTGACGCGAATGCATGGCCAGGAGTGAAAGTAGCGTTAGCAGCCAGCAGATAGCACGTGGTCCTCGACCTCCGCTGGCCTTGCCCTTGGACCAGTCGTAGCCCTCCTGATTGCCACCCATTAGCTTCTGTTCGGATTTGCCGATCTCGTTCAAATTCGATTGGTATTTAATGCCCACTGCCAGTTGGGGAAACAAATTAAAATTGCAAATTAGAGTCCAATTATTAGAGTAATTGAACAATACTAAACTGGCTGAACTACTCACATTTGTCAATTACAATCACCGAATTTGTGGGCACGTCTCCGCCCAGGCCATCGAATGCCAAATTGCCGTCAAAGGGTAAGTTCATTGTTGTTGTCGTTGTGGGCAAAGTTGTTGTTGTGGGCGGCGGTTGGGTGGTGGGCGGACTTGACACTGGGAAGTAGAAAGTAGTTTATTAATAATTATGTATAATATCGTAATAAGCTTTGGAAACACATGAAAACATTAAGGGTAAGGCCTGAAAGAAGATGAGTCTTATGAACAGGTGTGAGAATAACAGATATTCTATTTCATAAATAACTATCTTGTTATTATTATTAAATGGGGAAGGAAAATCCTATTTAACGGTTTTTATTTATTCTTATTTAATGAAAACATATTAAGCAAGATATTTTTTTAAATAATATTAAACATTCTTCTCTAATTAATTGTAATTCTTATGCCTGTAGTTTATTACTTTCATTAAGTATGTATCAACTGAAAGTCCCCTTGAATAGCTTTCAATTTTCTAACTTCATCTTCAAGCTGTAGTTCGTATAGCCGCCGATTCGTCGTAAATAAGCCGCTATTGAGTCGCCTTTCGTTTTCAATTCAATTTCTTCCCTTTTTTCGGGCTGCTCTCTGGTGCCATATCATTATTGACGGCAATTTGTTGGGCAAATTTATGAGGCTGGGCGCTTGTGCTGGTTGCCCTTGCGCTGCTCTGCCTTGACTCCTTATCGACTGCACTGCCACGAGGACGCGACGCCAAACTCTCATAGAGCAATGCTGACCACTTAATAACATTGTCATAGGTTTATTGTTCTCAATGTATTGTGTATTGTGTGCTGGCTTCCATTTTTGCCGCCCTCTTATTATCGGCTGCTCTGGCTGCTCTTTGTTACCTTTAATTGGTTGATCGTTGCCACCGCCCCCGCTCCGATCCCGCCCCTCCTCCCAGCACAGTATCACTGTCAGCTTGTATTGTATTGTTTGTTGTCGCCGCCCATGCCCCGCGAGACGCGTCGCTGCCTGTGTTTTTATCGCCTGCGCGCCCCAAAAATAAATTAACTTGTCGCATTTTCACATTGACAATTTCTGGCCGCTATTGGCCATGGCCTTTAGACGGCGCCATCTTTTTATTGTGGCGCAATGAACGAAACGAACGGATATTTTATATTGTTTTATGAACTTTTGTGACCGGAATTTGCGAGCTGTATTTATATACACATATATATTGCAGTCAGCTACTTTAATGGCCCAACAACTGGGACTGATTTAGCAAATTGACAGATTATTGGCATTTTATTGGCCTCGTGTGCTACGTAGCAATAAAATCATTAAATTGCCGCTTAAATGTACGCCATGTTAGCTGTCCATATATATTTGATAGGACTTTACAAACCCTGCTATTGATTAACAATTATTTATCTTGCAAACAGCCAAATAATAAATGATATAAAATGTTATTTGATTTTTTAAAAAGCCAAAAATTGTAATTTACTTGTTGCGCTAATATGAGTATATAATTTAAAATATTCTAAATGCAATAAAATTATATAAATAATAAATATAAATATAATCAAGCGCGCACAAAACTCCAAAAAGCTAACTAAACGCTTTTAATTTTTTATTTACGTTAAGTCAAGTGATGAAATAAATACGATAGTTATCCCATAATTTACGTGAAAAAGTAATGCGGTATGATGTAAACTAAATGAAAGTCCGCAATCAACTAACAGGTAGAGAGAGCTTAGAGCTTACTTAAATACAAGAACATCTCAGGAATCACTCAACAAGAATAAATTCCCACGCTTTCACTATCCACACTCGTGGTAGACTTCCATGCACACACACCACTCTACTGATCCGTTAATTGTTGTATGTGTGCGTGTATGCGATTTTACGTGCACTTGTGGATCCTCTCAGCTACCATTAGCGAACTGTTCATTTCAGCTTTCTGTGCGCCCATTTGTGGATTGTGTGTAGACTCTAATTGAGTGGAGCTTTGCGCTCAAAGAACGTACGTAGGTAAATGTGTAAGTGTGACTACATATGTGTGTTGATTTCACTAAACAGCTCTTGACTGTGCAGCCTCTTTGCTCTGTTTGTTTTATGCACATTTGAATTATTTATGCGTATTATTGCATCGAATATATAATGAAATTTTAGCAACCATTAAAAATTTTAATCAGTGTTTAATTCATTGTCTAAAATGCAGCGGAATAATGTTGATTGTTTCAATAAAAGTCCATTTGCATGCAGTATAAATGTTAAGCTTTATGCGCTGTAAACGTAAGCTATACAAAAGCTCGCGGACAACTGAATGAAGTTGACGAAGTGAGCTTTCTTGAAACATGTCAATAAACACAAAATGTAGATCATTCCCACCCTCTCTCTAACAAGTTTCAATCCACATAGCTTCTGTGTATGTGTGTATGAGCATGTGTGGATCCTCTCAGCAAGTTTTAAGCAAAAGCTTCGATTCAAGTATGTTAAGTTCCCACCAGAGATTTTCTAGACTGATTGATAAACAATGAATAAGAGTGCTATGTGTATGCTTATATGCCACGCCTTCTTCTACCTGTTACATATGTACATACAATATTTCCTGATTTCTCATTTTCAGGTCATTAAAAATTTATTTTAATGATTTATATTTTATAAGAATTATTACTGATTTTCGCAAGTCACTTAAAGTCTGATTCTTCGTTAGATCAAACTAGTTTAATAATGAAAACTTTATTCATGAGACCAGCAATTGTCGTATACGGCTCTTGGCCTGCTTTATACTGACAACACTATTCAACACTGATTGGGAAATATATATCGTATTGATAACCGAAGAATTTGGATAAAAGCCGTAAGCCCCTATTTGACTTTTCATTAGAGCCTTTCGCCTGTTGACTGTTTAAAACCAATGACCGCATTATCTGGCTACAATTACATACATCCACTCCACACTCACACACACACAGACACAGACACGCATATCTGTCAGACGCCATCCAATCAAGTGCACACATTCAGCCGCCATAATTAAAGCCGCAAATGGTGTAGTTTTAGAAATTTGCCGTGTCCAGAAAATTAGTGTGCGCACATTTGGGCCAACATTTGTTATTTATCGTCGTCGAGTCTGTGCCTGTGAGCCTTTGTCCATGCTTGTCTGTGTGCGCCTGTGTGCTGTGCGGCAGCACATCGGTTTACGCATAATGGGCCAATATTAAAATGCATAAATAACACATTGCAGACACTTACTATAGAGTTTTATGTTGCCATCCATGTCGCCACGAGGATTTTTGGCGACGCATTTGTAGTTGCCATAATCGCTGCTCTCCACATTGGTAATCGTCAGTCGCATTGTCGCCTTGTACGATGGATGACCCGGAATCGTTTCGGTTCTGCAATGAAGCAAGTTCAACAAAAATTCTTACTACAATTATAATAACAAACGAAATTGTAATACTAGACAGAAGGAAAGCATCTCATATCTGTGCAAGTTCAATGACAGCAATTGCGTCGTGCGCGGGCTATGCCAGGTCAGTGGCGAGTGGCGCAGCTTTAATCAGCCCCAATCAGAGTAATCAAGGTCAAGGTGAAACTGATAAGCGTAGTCGCTGCCCACTTATGTTTAATCTAAATGCCACACGGCAGAGTAGGCACAGTGGTTAGAAATGAATAACTATGGCGTCAAACTTTTGACCAAGGACAACAAATCTAAACTTTTTACAAAAATCAATAAATAAAATATAAACTATTTAATATAATTATATATAATATATAATTTGAATTTTAAAACTATAATTTACTGTGATTTTCTCAAAAAAAAAAAAAAACGATTATTTTATAAAATAATAAAAAACTAAAATAAATATTATTTACTTGAATTAACAGTAAAAATAAATAACAATAAATTTGTTTAAATAATATATATAAAATCAACTTAATATAATTAGCTAATTTTTTTGTAATAAAATAAAAATAATATAAAAATAAAACTAAATTGGTTTTAATAATATAATTTTCATATTTAAAATAAATAAAAAACATTCATTTAATTATTTTAAAAGTAAAATTACAAATTATTTTTAGAGCTCAAAACAAATTAAAAGTATTATTTGGCCTTATACAATGTTGGCCCACTGTGCAGCGCTGCGATGAAGACTGACAGGTTGTCAACGTTGCTTGCCGCCGGCTATTCCAGTCAACAGGCTGCTGGATATATAAGTTCTAGCCAGTTATGCAGTTGATCGCAGAAACATGCTTAAGCTCAGCCTGATTGCTTGGCTACTCTGCTCCCTGGCGTGGCGCACCACGCCCACCAGTTGCCATCGGACACAACCGCCGCCGAGCGTGGAGGAGCTGCTGGCCAGTCGCCTGCACAGCTATATGGACCTGACGGCGCGCCCCTGCGAGAATTTTTATCAGTATGCCTGCGGCAATTGGCCACTGCAGCAGGTGGAGCAGCCAGCGGAGATCCAGCAGATGGCAGAGCAGCAGATACAGTTACATCAACGGGAGCAAAAGGAGCAGCTGCAGCCGAGCGACACGCTGGCCGTGCTGGATTATGCATTGAATCGCCAGTTGGAGCAATTGCTGCGGCGTGGAGTCACCAATGACAGCAGCACCGAGGACGAACAGCTCATTAGCATCCAGGAGAAAATGCACAATTATTATCGGGCCTGCAAGCGTCTGAAGCCGTATAATCTAAAGAAATATCTGCAGCTGTTGCCGCCAAGCAATTGCACGGGCTGGCCGCTGCTGAGCCGGAAGTGGAGTCCGGAAACATTTAGCTGGCTGGCGACCATCGGACGACTGCGCTCATATGGGCTCAATGGGGTGCTGCTAAAGGAGGAGGTGCTGCCACGCTGGGATGACGCCAGCAGCTATGCAATTAATTTGGATAAGCCCAGCCAACAGGAGACCCTGCCAATGGGCGAGGGCGCCATCATAGAGCTGCTGCTGGACATTGGCCAAACGAAGCGCGAGGCCAATGTGCTCGCCCGTCAAGTGGATTTCTTTGAGCGGCAGCTGCATCGCTTGCAGGACATCGAGGACGACATGGGCAACATGGAAACTGAGCTGTGCTATTTGGCCGAGATCATGCCGCAATTGCAGTGGACGGCCTTCATCCAAGAGCTGCCCATAAATGCAACTGGCAGTGAGCTCGAGCGTCCGCCAGCGCTCCTGATACAAAATGTGCCCTACATGCGCGCCTTGGATAAGTTCCTGAGGCGCCACAAGCCGGAAACCGTCTGCAACTACATCATGCTGAAGCTGCTCGCATTCCTCAAGCAGCAGGGACCGGCGGAGATCTCGCGCGTGGAGTGTGTGGCTAGCCTGAGGCGAGCCATGCCATTGGCTGCCAGCCTGCTGATAGGCCAGAGATTCCATGATCCCAACTCCGAGCCGCTGGTGAGCGAGATCTTTGGACGGTTGAAGCGTCGTTTCGCCCAGCTGCTCAATGAGAATCGCTTGCAACTGAAGCAGCCAATCCTGAGAGTTTTGCAAGAGAAGTTGGAGGCGATGCGTTTGCAGCTGGGCTTCTTGCAGCTAAACGAGACCAGCTATGTGGAGGACTACTATGAGCCAGTGCAGATGGGCGCCCAGAGATTCTATGAGAATCAGCTGGCATTGCTGCGGCTGCGCGTCGAGCGCAACCACGAGCTGCTCACCATGGGCAATCAGTACAATGGGAATAACGTGAGCTATCTAGCCGAGCGCGAGCTAAGCAGCAGTCTGTCGCCGTTCTTTGAGTTGCCCAGGAATCTGGTGCTGGTGCCATACGGATTCCTTCAGCTGCCCGTTTGGCATCGCAACATGAGCGAGCTGCAGCAGCATGCGGTCCTGGGCTTCATACTGGCCCACGAGATCATTCATGGCTTCGATAATCATGGCATTCACTACGACAGTGTGGGCAATCTTATGGGTCCCAGCGAGGAGATCTGGTCGAGTCCGCGCTACAATCAGAGCATCAATTGCATTGAGCAGCATGTGGCCACCGGATCCAAGTCACTCAGCGAAAAGATGGCCGACTTCGAGGCAATGCGCCTGGTCTATGAGACCTACTTTGGTGAGAAGTTTTCGATGGATCGCAAAGAGCCACGGGATCCGCTGCTGCCACAATTCAGTCAACGCCAGCGATTCTTCATCAGCTTCGCGCAGTTTTTCTGCGGCAAGCAGCAGAGTCTGAATGCCCAGCATCTGGAGCACGCCGTGGATGAGCTGCGGGTACTCCAAACCCTGGCCAATTTCGAAGAATTCTCCCGAGAATTCGGCTGCGAGAAACGGACCAAGATGCAAGCTAAGAAGAAGTGTAGGGTATGGTAGAGTCGAATATTTATTAAAGCTGTAGATATATAATTGGCACTATCAAATACAGGGGCATTATTTAATTGATCATATTTAATGGATTGTCTCTAAGGTAATTTAGCTCTACTTCATTTAACTAAACCGTTTCAAATTGTCTATGGAAATTATATTTTATGCTTTTACTCTTCTGCAATTTTACCATATTCGACATTTGTTGGCCGGATGCATATTATCGCTACCCTGGCGGCAGCCGTACGCTTCGGCAAAGGGCGCAAAGTTAATTAGAACATGCCTCAGGCGCATTTCATCCGCATCGTGCCCCTCGAAATCATCCGGCGTTGCGTCGCCACAGAAGAACTGCGCCACGTTTAGGAAGAACAGCTGCTTTAGGGTGAGAGTCGAGAACGAGGGCTGCGACTGATCAAATTTGGAGTCGCTGTCAAAGTAGGCGTCATAGGCCAGACGTATGCCCGCAACATCAGCCTCGCGCTCATCTATATATTCAGTCTCATTACGATTTAGGCAGCTAATCGCCGACGAATATTTGTCTTCCAGAACAATTTCTGCGCCCAGCTCATTGTAATTGCCTCGGAAATCATAGATTAGACCACCTGAGACAAAGCCGTGCATCAGCTCATGGCTCAGCATGAAGCCCAATAGGCTAACCTTGAATACATCGTGCGAGTCCTGATAGAAAACGGGCCGCTGCAGTATGCCATAGGGCACAATAATGACATTCTGGCGCAGCATATAGTAGGGCGTCGAGCTCATGCCCGTATCCGAATCGCTGATATAAAAGTAAGTGCTTATGTTGAATGCTCTGTCCAGTTGCTCAAACCAGCGACGTGTGCGAAACTCCAGCAGACGCAGATGATCCGCTGCGTAATCCCGATTCCCAGCCAGATGCAAATCGGCATAGAACGCATCGACAAAGCTCGATCGATCCACACCCTGAGGCATGTTTCCAATGTTGATGGTGACGTTGAGCAGCTTAGCTCTCAACAGATCCACTGCTTCTGAAGCCAGATGTAGATTGTTTGTCTGAAGAATCTTCAGGAACTGTTTACGCAGCACCTCAAACAGTTCCGATAGGTTGCTCTGATGCCTGCGCAGACGGTCCGGCGAAATGAATCGCTTCTCATATAGCAGGTTTGTGGCCAGCTCCATGACGCGACGCACATCTTGCACGCAGGCGATGGGCTCGTTACTCGCCATGCTCTCCTCCTGCAAATACGAGACGAACCGCAACATGATATAGCTGGCGACGACATCACGATCCACTTCCTTGATGAGTTCCTGAAGCGCTTTCAGATAAGCCACACAATCGACATTCACCACAAACTCAGCGGGCACACTGCGGCCCAGAAGTGTCTCAAAATACTTGCGCCACTGTCCCCCGATTTTCGCTTCAAGCTCTTCTACAGTGAGATATTCATCAGTGAGAGTTTCATCAGCATTATCATTTTCATCGGGCTGTCCGGCAACCAAAGCAGCTACCTTTAGCTCCAAGTCTTTAACTTTATGAGCCAGAAGCGTCGCCCGCTGAGGGCTGGTGCCCAGTATGCGTAGCCATGCCTTGGTTCGTGTTCGGCTTCCGAGTCGTTCGTTTTTCTCCTCAAAACTTGGCGTTTTCAGGTGTATAAGATAATTGCTACTATTCGTGAGGTCTGGCAATACATTGGGGTCAAAGAGCACATTGGTTAGGCCATAGCGTTGCAGACGGGCCAGTGTTTCCATCCAATTGAACTTGCTGCTGTCCCAGGTCTCTGATTGGTTCTGGAACTGTGGCCAGGGTATTTGCTCGTTTGGCGGCGCCAGAGCCAAATAATGTTCACCACGGCGAGTCGAGCTCGATGCCAACTGACAGGTCTGAAAGAAGCTCAAGACCTTCGCCTGCACACTGTCCGACTGTAGCGATGATTGCTGCTCCTGCAGCTCAGTTAGCAGCATTAAGAGCTTCTCGTTCACCTTCTGATCAATCAGTCCAGTTATTTCCATAAAGCTGTCATTCTCGTGTATTTGGGCCCAATTGCCGCAGGCATAGCTATAGTAATCATGGCACGGCGAAGCACTCACATTCACATAACTAAGTATCTGAGTCAATAGCTCTGTGTTAGCGTTAGCACCGGCATTGGCATTGGCATTTGCACTTGCCAATAGCAGCAGAAATATTAATCGAAGAACACTGAACGTTGTCGTTGAAGTCGACATTGCTTTTGGCAAACTGATTTAGTCGATTGTTTTTTCGGTATATATAAGCTCGATCTTTGTTTTATAATCAGCAGCAAATACTACAGAAAGATTCTCTTCCATTTTCTCTCTCACTCTATCTCTCTTTTTCTCTCTCTCTTGCTCTGTCTTTCTCTCTCTCTGTCTCTTACTATCTGTTGCTCTTTGTCTATGCGTAATCGTAATCGACAAGAAATGTAGTATACTCTATACTATAGCACATTGCTAATTTATCGCCGACTCAGAGAAGCCAATGCAGTAGGGGCAACAATCCAAATTATCAGGTATTAATTAATAACTTGAAAACTAAGCCAAATTTTTTTGATCCGGTTTATTATATACCCCTAAAAATTAATTTTAATATTTATTTTTTTTTAATATTGCTTGTTAATACTTAGAAATAAAAATTTCAATTGAAAACAATCGAGCTTTAAAAAATCGAAAGTGATATTCTACAGTTTCAAGTTCCAGATCAGCCAGAAATAAAGCATAATAAACTTCGGGTTCTTCAACTGATTTAATTATGCCTTCAACTTCACATAATACAAAATGTACAACTTCATTAGACAGCGAACTTTAAAGATTTGCCGACGAAATTTTCTGATCAGGGGTATCCATTGCTCTATTGCAAACATCAGCGAAATTATGGATTCTGCTGTGCTTCTATGGTGAATGAAGTCTGAGACCTTCTGCATGAACAGTATTTTTCCATAATCTGCCTTTTTATAAACATTTGCAGTCATAGGCAGCCATTCAGAGTTGTTAGCTGCATTTTGTTGCTACTTTATTTCTTCCATTTGGCATTTATACTTTGGCAAAAAAGCGGTTTGTGCGCTTTTAATATGAATAATAAGTTGAATCTTATTCTATTTCTTAGTCTCATTTAGTTTCGCCTTAACTAAAAAAATTCATAATCAGTGCGTCTTGATTATAGCTGCCCTTTTCATTGAGCCAAACATATACATGTTATTTTGAATATATACTATATTATTGAGAACTTATATTGGCATAATAGTCGTACATTAATCGCAAGAAGCAGTTAATGACAATTATTAAAGTTAGATTATGTTTCACATTCCTGATTATGTCATTATTAGATTTGACTCTCGAAAAGTAGAGCTTCGACATTGTAGCTCTCATTAATTCCAAAGTCTTGTTCAAAATCGAATTAAATAGGTCAAACATAATTGTGATAGTGAGACTATCTACTAACACACATACAATCCTATTTCATGTGTTATATATGTTATTTTGAATGTATATTATATTAATAGAACCGTATATTATCATAAGTACTTTATAGACAATTATTAAAGTTGAATTATAATGTACATTCCTAATAATGTATGTAATTCTTTGATATACTTCTCACTAATTCCAGGGTTAGATATATATTTTTCTAAATATTTTGAATCACTCCACTAAATTAACTGTATCTCTTTTCATTGGTTTTATATAAGAGGAAAACTTACTTGTATTTGGGCGACTCAGTGATCATTTGTTCGTTCTCTCGCGTCCAGTAATTGAGCGAGGTGGGATTGGCTTCGATAAAGCACTCTAGCGTAACATTAAAGCCCATGGGAATGCCGACCAGCTGATGCGGTATCCAGACCATTGGCGAAACTGCAATTGCAATTCGAGAGAGTAGAGGGTATACGCATACATTGGGTGTATCGGCTTATTCAACAAACTTACAGTCCACGCTGACTTTGATGCGCTTGGAGACGCTGGGCGGCACACCGTTTGAGGCAATGCAGAGATAAGCACCCATGTGCAGGCGCGAGATGCGCTCCAATTCCAACGAGTCTGTCTCCAGGTCATTCACTGCAACAACATGAGCGGCCAATAGAGTTCACGATTTGATGTGGGTTTCGTGGCAGTCGGTCGGTCGGACTTACCTTCGAGCGTCTTGTTGATGACAATTTTATGGTTGTCATCCCGTTTCCATTTGATGGATGGCTCTGGGCTGCCTTTCGCCTTGCAGCGCAGTGTGACATTGTCGCCCTCGCGCACAATGACATCGCTGGAGGTCAGCGCATCGTCAATATTGGGTGGGACTGCAAGAAGTGTGGCGGGAAAAGGAAATGGATATTATTATTCCTGCCAGCTAAACATAAACTCAAAAGCGAGCAGCACTTGATTTAAATGCAAAAACTTTTGCATTTTGGCAAACAGCGTTGCCAAGAAAGTGGAAACGGCACAAGCCAACAAAATCTAACTGAACCGAAGGCCAACGACTTATAGATACACTTGTCGATTATGACACACAAGTCTTATCTACTTATTAATATATGTATATAATATAATATGTATATAATATAATACAAGACGTTCAACAAGATTTTCTTTATGAAATTATTTTTAATGCAAAATAAAGACAAGATTTAATATATAATTTATTGTTGAAATTAATCTCAGCACCCAAGGTCTGATGAACACAGCAATGCCTAAGCAGAAAGACAAGAAATGTCTGAGCAAACAATGCGCCAAAGTTCGGTTACGCTTCGGGAAGTGTAGAAAAAAGCATTTCACGCATTGTTGACTTTGACGCGCTGATTCAACTTTGTCCCAAGAGATATTTTAGTTTAAGCCTAATTAGCTTTGCGACAAGACTTTAGCCCGGCTAACTTTTGGGGCGAGTCTGTTAATTTAAAAATCGATGCTAGAACCTTCATCAAATTGTCATCAGCCTTTGGGGGACACCGTTGCGCTCTGGTTTTCAATTGCTGGCTGAACGCTTCTGTCAAACCCTTTTTTTTTTTTTTTTTTTTCTTTTTAGTGGCGTTTCTTTGCTTTGGCCTTCAAGCGGAAAATCTGTAATGAAAAATCTATGCAAATCAAAGCGCACAAAGCTAGAAGCTAAGGATT